AAAGAAAATTTAAATGAAGCATGCATATGGCTCTAAATACAATCTGTCCAGAAAATGCCTTTTTTGTCCTGTTCTAGCTTAAAGCAAATAAATAAATAAATATAATTTTGCAGAAACAAAATAGTGTATAATGTTTCTTGTTTTCTGTACGCAACGATTATTTATTTATTTATTTTTGCAAATGATATAAAATTACAAAAAAGTTCAATAGCAAGCATGTATTGATTATTATGATTAATAATTTTACACTAGTAACCGTATATATTTTTTTATTTTATGTTGTTTTTATTTATTCTGAAAATGTTCCTTACAAAAGTATTTCTGCCGCTTGTCGCATGCACTGTAATCCTGCTGCGCTCTCATAGTGGTAAATGAAAACAAAACAATTCTTCTTCTTCCACTTGTTTTGGCAACACAACGTGCCGTCTCTCTGCTGTCTGAACACTGTACAGGTAACAGGTCTTCGAAGCTATCATGCATATTAATGAAGTTGCACCTCATTCACAATAGAGTGCGCTGATTGTTTTTAACCAAGTCATTCTCATGAATTATTGCTGCACACGCAGAGATGTCACAAAGTACTCCCAGGTACAGACATCCAGTCTCCACACTGGAATACACGCAAGGATCTAATCGCCGTGACGCAGCTTCAAAAATTCGTTCAAACCGGAAGAACAAATTTGCTCGAAATAACGCAAAACAACCAATTTTCACTTTCTTTGTGAGATAAACAGTATATGTCCTAATAGTGTTTTTAGCAGCGTGGGACACATATATGACTGTCAACTGCTCAAAAAATGTGTTTTGGCATTTCGTCACTCTTTAAAAGGTCAGTAATGGTACTTTAAAAGTTTATATTAGTACATAATCATTTTAAGAGGAACATTTTTGTACTTTTTAAGTACTAATATGTACCCTTGAGATATTAATATAGAGCTTTTAGGTACAAATTTATACCTTTTGAAAAGGTACCACCCCAGTGACAGCTCACATACCTTTTTTTCTGAGAGTAAACTACTTATAGAGGTAATAACATACTTCTCAGACAGAGTGAATGTAAAAGTATTCTAAATAACATTTTAAGTATGCAATTAGCAATTATTTATTATTTTGGTCAGACTTTACAATAAGGTTTCATTAGTTAATGCATTTATTAATGCATTACACTCTCAAAAATAAAGGTACGGGAGCTGTCACTGGTACCTTTTGATATGGTACAAACCTGCACCTAAAAGGTCCATATTCATACCTCAAGGCTACATATTACTACCTAAAAAGTACAAAAGTGTTCCTCTTGAATTTTTTAGGGACTAATATATACTTTTGAGGTACCAATATGGACCCTTTAAGTACAAATGTGTACCTCTTGAAAAGTTACCACCCCAGTGACAGCTTGCATACCTTTATTTCTGAGAGTGTACTAATGCATTATCAAAATCTACATCTATGCTGGTTAACATTACTTAAGGAGTTAACATAAATCAACAATGAATGACTGTATTTTTATTAACTAATGTTAACTAACATGAACAAATACTGTAATAAATGTATTGTTCGTTGTTTGTTCATGTTAGTAAATGCATTAACCATTATTAATCCATACAACCTTATTGTAAAGTGTTACCATTTTTGTTAAGTAACCTACCCAACACTGGTTGTTAGTGTCCTGCAAATGTAGTGGTTTTTACTTCTGTCATTTGCTTGTAGGTTAAAAAAGTACCCAAATTTTATTCTTTTACTTTCAACGTACAGCATATGACAAGACTGAAACATGCTCTTAACACTCTCTACACGTGTCTAAAACCTAAAATGTTAACAAACGCTGTATCGCATTACCATTACTGCCTCCCATCTTTTAATCATCCAACATATTTCTCATTCTCTCTTCTTTGCTCAACTCACCCGTCTCAGGTTCGATTGAGAAGTACGGCTGGCCCTGCAGAATGCTGTAAACCAGCTTGGCGCTGTTTCCATACGCTTCATCATCTGCATCAGAGGCTGTAACTTTCATTACAAATGCACCTTAAGAGAGAAACAGAGAGAATTATAGAGGGAGGCATTTCAACTCCAACACCACTGTAAAACATGATCCCGCATCCAGTATTAATACCTCAAGCATGATCAAAGCGGTGCGTCCGAAAGGTGCACCACGAACGACAAATTCCAAGTTGTAAAACCGGCTATTAGCCTATATGAAGACTCCCAGAGTGAGCAGTGATCAAGGCGAATGCGTGATCACTCGCTCTTTCATCTCCTTTATCTCCGTCTGTATTTCTTATCTAAATCCGAGTCTCATAATTACTCCGGCTGCGCGGTGAGATGGACATATCTTTAATTGTAGTTTTTCTTACGGGCCGCTCTCTCCGGGTCAATCCCATTCATTTTACGCTCTGATGGAATCGACTGGATGTTGCCGGAGAAATGTCAGACTAATAATCCGCTCAAAGAAACATTATAATTAGACCAATTAATCTAGAACTAACATGATTTGGGGGGGTGGGGGGGTTTCGATTGCAGCTCAACACAGCTTTAGTCAGCTGGATGAGGAATACAAAGTGCAGTTTTTGATATGGAAGTGCTTCAGAATTTGGGCATGGTGTAAAGTGATGGTGGGAATACAGTGGGGGAATTAAGTATTAAACTATTGAATACGTATTGCACTTTTATATACTTTATATAAAGGCTGTTTTGGTGATGCAGCTTAATGACGCCTCTTACTGTATATGGAGAATAAAGTCATGAATTTCTCAGGTTTGATCTTTTTCACAAAGTTCAAGAGAGTGTGAAAATCTTGATTGTTCTTTGCGTTTTGTCTATCAAATCTGATCTTAATTTTGTATTTTCTATTGGGTTTAAGTCAGGTGACTGGCTGGGCCACTCTACAGCTGACTTTTCTTTCTCTAAAAGCATCTGAGAGTTTCCGTGGCTGTGTTTGTCATATTATGCTTGCAATGATCCTACTGGCAATTTAGAGCCCACTCACACTATGCCATCCGTACCGTGCCCAGGCCCGTTTCCCAGATTGTTTGAGAAGTGTGAGTGCGCTGAATCGCACTCAAGCACGGTTCACTTGGCCGGCCCTGGCCCAGTTGGAAGAGGTGTGCCTGAGCGCGGTTGTTTGCAAATATTTTTCAATGGAAGTCAATGGAGGAATATGACTAGTCAGTCATAATATATTTGCAGATATCTCCAATCTGATTTCGTACTAGTACAATTGTAATTGCAGATATCTCTAATTGTCATTCTGACTAGTCGAATTATAATTATGACTAGTCAAAAATATAATTAGAGATATCTCTAAATATATTTATGGAGTCAGAACAAAGATTTAAATGCTAAAAAGGCTTGCCATAGAGAGTGCTTCTGAACAGCGCAGCAGCGATGACATAAGCGTGCCGAGGTCCGATATGGTGTGAGCGCGGGCCGTCGGGGGAGACGGGAGGGGGGACAAGCGTGCTTTGGCCCGGTTCGAGGCAACTGTACCTAGTGTGAGTACGGCCTTACATAATATCCACAGTACTTTTGGAAATTGTGCAGTACACTCAAAACAATATTTTTGCTGGTTGTACAAACTATTTATTTAAAATAAGCTGAACCAACACAATATTTGAGGGTTTTTAAAACAATATTTAATTGTTTTATATTCAATCCACTGAAATTCACAAAAACAATTCAATAGAGTTGTGTTGAGATAACATGAAGGTATTGTGTGGAAACAATTTTTTTTAACAATGTTCTACGACTCCTAATAATAATTATTGATACACACGTTTTGTGATGCATAAAATATATATTTATATTTTATATATTAAATTCAATAGTATTACATGTGTGTTCTTTATTGAAATGTAGATAAATATTGCTGTTTGCAATGTTTTACATGACAATGCAAGCATGTAAGCAGTAAATACATTATCAAACAAATTAATAAATGTTTTTTTTTTTTTTTTTTTTTTTTTACACAACCCAGTATAGCGAAATGCCCATACACACTCATTCACACTACGGTCAATTTAGTTTATTCAATTCACCTCTACCACATGTCTTTGGATGAGGAAACCCACTCCAACACAGAAGAACATGCAAACTCCACAGAGAAATGGCAACTGGCCCAGCCGAGTCTCGAACCAGGGACCTTTTTGCCGTGATATGACAGTACTAAACACTGAGCCACTGTGTCTTATAATTGATATCATTTATATATAATATTTATTTTATACATATTAATAATAATATTTATAATATCACTAAATGTTTACAATCAGTTTCAAAAATAATATTTGTACCAAATTAATGATGCATTTTAATAATAAAACTGCAAACGTATTTACTTATTTATGAAATTGTAAAAATAATATATTATTTAAACTATTTACAAAATGCTGTTTGTATTTTTTATTGTTATTTTTTTTATAAATACATCAAATAATTATTCCTAAGTCATAAAGTTCAAACATGATTATATGCCTGGCAATTTTATATCAAGTATATCTTAAAAAACTTATTTCAAATATCATCAAAAGGATGTAAAATACATTGCTAACGAATCGATTTTGGTAAATTACACAGTATTTACTGTAATATGAACTGTAATTTACTGTAGGACAGATATGCAGTATGTTACTGCGTTTTAAAGTTGCATTGTAAAAAGAACTGTATATTTTACTGTAAAGATATACAGTACATGCAATACTGTAAATACAAATATTATTAATCATGATAATATTAATAATCATGATAAATGGTGCAGTAAATAATAACAGTAATTTTGCTGTGATTGATTTACAGTAAGTTACTGGTAAACTGCTTCCAGTAAGTTACTGTAGATTCTACAGGAAATTGTTAACAGTGCTTCTATATGTCTCCCTCTCTTTAGCAATACGACTCAGATCTTGTGGTAGAAAACTGTACACCATTACCCACAATAAAAATCTGATCTCGGCTATATTTCTCAGATATAACAAGACACAACTTTTGCCTCATCTCCTGCGCTTTCCGTTACAGCCACAGTTTCCTTCAAGGATCTTCATTCCCGTTTGTGTACTACTGTTCGCTCTTCTCAATAGACTTTAGAGGTGACTTGGCGGCTCTTCACGCTCACCTCTAAAGGTGGACCGAATGCACATGTTGTTTCTGCCATGGATCAGCGGCGTCCTTGGCATAGACAAGACCTCCGCCGAGCTGCGTTCGCTCTCCAAACGGTTCTGAGAATACTAATGAATGCGGAAACATCTGTCGCCCCCCGATCCCATTCCGATAACACGGAGAGAAACAGAGTCTCAGTCTTCATGGATGGCCAGATCTGATTAACGGCAGGCACGTTCGCAACACATGGCCGGTTTGTTGGGTCTAAACGCGAGTGCCACCGTGACCTCTCTTTTTTTTGTTTGGCAAGTAGAGTCGTGCATTTGTGTATGGAAAAAAGCTCAAGTGAAGTGTCAAACGAGTACGGTGTCCCATTTACGTTACGGAGTGCTGAGGATGATGTAACTGTGTACCCCAACGGAGAAATACGGATTATGAAAGGAAAACATACCGGCCTGGTGGAACAGAGAGATGGAAAAGAAAGGCTGAGGTTGGGTTTCAAGCGCAAATAAAAAGCCTCGGGGAGAAAAGACTGTGGTCCATTTATGAGGCTGCTTTAAATAAATAAGTCTGCCCCATAGTCAAGCTGCTGGAATGTGACGTGCTTTTTAACATTTGTGAGGGAAATAAAATATTGGTAGTGACAGAGAAGTTGTCATGTAAAGGGTCTGAATGAAACAGCATTGTGTGGCAAGCTGTTTTGGCAAGCTATTCCTTTTAAGGATGTTTGGTTCGGTTTTCACTTGAAATTCTAAATTTTGATATTGAATTATTAGGCTGCCATTAAAGAGATAGTTCATGCAAAAAAAAAGTAAAAAGATGCTGCGATATTTGACTAATTTTGGTATAATATTTGAGTTTATTTCGTCTGTTGATCACAAAACATGACATTTTGAAAACGGCTGTTAGCTGACATTGACTTTTTCTGGAAGTCAATGGGTTCCAGCAATCAGCATTCTTCAAAATATAGCAACCCAGCCTCATTCTGAAAATGTACAGCTATATACATTTCTGGAGAGCACCAAATACATCCCCATATATATATATATATATATATATATATATATATATATATATATATATATATATATATATATATATATATATATATATATATATATATATATATATATATATATATATATATATATATATATATATATATATATATATATATATATATATATATATATATATATATATATATATATATATATATATA